CGATCAGCCTGAAGCCCCCAGTCTGAACATGCAAAGGCAGACAGTGGTATTTCATTCTCAGAGAGCCTTGAAGAGCCAAATTTATGCCTCTCTAGAGAAACCACAGTAAAGTGCCACAGGGCACCAAACGAGAAAAACAACTTGGGGAACAAGAGAGTTAAGAGAGGCGTTCAGACTAAGTGAAATAGTGAAATGTTTAATATTATTTATAGTTACGTGTATACTGCTTTGTAATGCCTAACGTATGCGTGGACTCTTTCACACAAAGGTTGTTCCTGTGTGATTCATGAAAATGATGGGCATCAGGTCTGTGTGGGAGTTACTGACAAAACCTGATCTCTCTTATATCTTAACAATATTTTTATATGCACTTGTGTTTTTGCTTTTAGTTGTGCCTTAGTGTGCTCAGAATCTGAGCGAAATATATAGAATAATTAGCATTATTACATAATTTCCTACCAGTGCCAGTTTTGAAACTTTCTGACTCGGAAAGTGTTGAAATGTGTTTCACATTTATCGACACTGCGGCCTGAGCAGATGCCATCACACAAAGTCTCAAGCATTTATTTATGCAAAATGGGTACTTTCGCAGCAGCAAAAGTTTCATGTTTTAATGGATGTGGTTTAATGCCACTTCACAGTGTACAACAACGCACAAGCAGATGTCTTTGTAGTGGTAAAATATTGTTTTCATTAAAAAATGAAAAAGGAAAAAAGACACAAAAAAAGACAAAAAAGAACCACAAAAATTAAAGACAAATCATAACATGTGTGATGATGCCCCTGACCAAAACAATACTGCCACATTCTTTCATTTTTGACTATGTCATATAAATAGACAAAAACAAGCCCATGGGGAGGAAAATATACTCATCAAGCCTGGTCTCTCCAGTGAGGTTCTGGTGCTTTGAATTTATGTGTTAGACAACACTGACACCTGCTGGATAAGATGTTCACTGTATACAGGTACACATACGTTTATATAGCATAACATGACTTCTCCAAATTCATACTTCTGCTTTCTAGTCAAATTGTTCCAAATCCTAATGTAACTGCATGATCATTTTGTAGGAGGTAGTTTGTAATAAACTAACCATCTTAATTCAATGAATTCAGTTTGATTACATCACTTTTTTATGGAGCTACATGGTTCATGAAAAAAATACATTGTGATGTGCAGTACTGTGCAAAAAATTAGAAATAGGTGAAATGATTTATTGAAATATGCAAACATTCATGAAAGTCCAATTTATTTATATAGCACATTTAAAACAATAACTGCCCCTTGAGTTAAGTGCCTTTTTATACTTGAATGATTCATAGATCAGTGTTAAATGGCTTAACAAACAAGCACAAATCTTTCCTTTGGAAATGATCAATGCAAGAACTGGACTGAAAATAAGTGAAAAAGCAGCAAAAGTCCAAAGAAAGAGAGAGAGAGTACCTTTGAAGAAGTCTGAAATGAGGGGCAGCCAAAGACTTTTGCACACTATTGTAGCTCCTACACATATTATACACTATTTTATTCCAGCACAGTGACCATGCTTTGCCACATTTTTTAAAAATGCATTCACTGGTTCATTCAGTTCAACAAAACCCACTTAGTTCCAAATGAATGGACCAACTTGTTAGTATTAAGACGGATTAAGATATGCAGATAAGAACTGTGACAACCATAAAACCACCCCAAGGCAGGAAGAGATAGTATCAGTCCTGATGACTAAAGTTACCACAGCGAGACATCTTACAATACAGTGTCTGTCAGCAGGATATTATGACCCCCAGCTCTAATGAGAGATCCGTAACTGGTGTTGTCAGGTTGCACCACCTTGTTTCATGTATTGGCATTTATGTATGTGCCTATAGCCTTTTAAAGCCACTTTAAAGTCTATCTGAGCTGTCTCAGAAAGTACCATCCCTATTAAAAGAAGAGCGTGGTGACATGTGAACACCATATGAAACCAGTTATGTAATGGACTCAACAATACAAAAGAGTATGGTTTGCATTAGTTCAGACCACTGATAAATTATCCACAGACACAGCATATTGGTTTCTGTCATGCATAATTTCCCTGCCTGATGTTGATTAGTGTAATACAGTGGATGTGTTTCAGTGCTAATATAAGGAATAGCCCCCTCTGATTACTGCTTGAACTTTTTTGATTATTGAACAATGTTTACACATGTGAGGAAAGTTCTAGCAGTCTTTGAAATGCGGATAAAGAAGTAGATGAAGAGGATTTACTGGGAAATGCTGAATGCACAATTAGAGGCCTGGGTAAACATGACATCAGCATGGTTACTTGCTGTAGAAAGCTCCCACCAGAGACACAGAAGACATTAAAAATGGTTTTCAGAGGCTGCGTAGTACTAACAACAGTGTGTATGTAAGTTGTAGTTGTATGTCTCTTTTAATATAATGAAAAGATAAGAACAATGAGAACAGTCCTAACCCATATTTCACTTATTTAAAGGTGAAATGGATCACAGGTAAAGTTCAAACTCAGCACCCCGCAGTGAATCACTGTCAGAGCAGCGCAGATCCTGAAAAGGCCTCTACCACTGCGTCACATGCAGCGTTCTGTCATTACGGGAGCTCTTTGTGACTCAACCATTTCATATGCAAATGCCGTGCCTCTGATTTCTTTTGATTCGCCTCTCCACGTTAGCCGTGGCTTAGACTACGTGCACACGAGGGCTTTTCAGGTGTAATTGCCTTTCAGGGATAATTGTCCTGGGCTCGTCTTCCTACAGAAGCACCTGTGTGTGGATCAAAGCATTTGATGTGTGTGTCAGCTTTGTTTCGAGTGGGTGTCTTTGCAGCACACAGATTGTCAAGTAATTGCCCCTCCAGAAATTTCTATGACCAGAGTGTGTGTGTGTGCGGGGGGGGTCAGCTTTCATTAAAACAGAGCATTTAAATGGCTAAGTAAGTAAAGAGTATCAAAAGGTTTAATAACAGTGTAATTATCTCAGGAGATGGAAAATAAATCACCCTGCTGACATATCCCTTAATGGAAAAGTTACAAATATTGACATTGTCAGCATTTTCCACACATCTGAGGTCACAAATGTCATGTAACACAATTCATACAGTCTTCATTGCGCTTGAATTTCATCTGCATTTTTGAGATTTCATCCATCACCTTGTCGTGTATGACTTCTGACCATCAGGTGCACTACACAACCTTCAGCGCTTCCACGTGTGTTAAATCGTAATAAGTCAACCACTTTTATTTCAGTCTACTTGACCTTTGAGGTCACAGCTGTGCTCTCCTGCTTAATAAATTCCCAGCTAAACATTCACCAAGTCAACTGGCAACCCAATAAAACCTTCAAAGTAGACGGGTATATTTACAAAGCATCACTCAAAGACCCGACACACCTGCCCTCTTCCTCTGTAATATCAAAGAAGCATGTGAACATCACAAGGTCACAAATGAGCAAGAGGAGAATATTTTTAGACCAACCACAATCTAGACGTCTAATAAAGATGGAAATGAAAGGCGACCTTCTCAAATGTAAATATTTGATATTGAAGAGGTGGGTTTTTTTTCTTAGAATTGACCCCTGCCTGTAAGTTTTTAGATGACGTCTTATAGGTCCAACTATTTAAAAAAAAAAAAAAAAAAGTTTAATTGTTAATTCAATCACATTTTCTCCCATTTAATGACTACAAAGTATGAGGGAAAGAATTTAAAAACTTGATCTTTTACAAATACTCCAATACAATAAATTAGGGAGTTGTAATAAATTGAATGGTGGCAAGTGAATAGTCCTGTTTAGAGGGGAGGGGTCTATTAGCAGGGGTTTAGAGGTATAAAGGCGCCATGGATGCAGTTCGCACAGACTGAATAATACGAAAACCCATCCTGCTAACATCATCTGTAATGTATTATTAGCTTTTGCTGGGATAAAAAATATATTTGATTAAAAAGAAGTAGAAGCAGAGCTTTTCTCTTTGAGATAGCAATGGATAACTGGAAGATCCAGCTGGTTATTGTGACTTTTTGTGCTTTGGTGCAAACCTATCAGAGATTCTCGTGCAGTGCAGAAGAGCAGAGAGGACTTCTGAAAGAGTGGAAGGTGAGAAGCACTATTGTTTTTATAATGGGTTGAGCAATGGACAAATTTAAATATCAAAGCATTGAGTTCATTCACTTATTCTGTTCAAGCTTAGGTGAAGAGGAGAAAATCTTAGATGATTGTTGAGATTTCTTGCTTATATACAAGAAAAAAATATACTTTCAAAGAAGTCTGAAAGCTGTGTGTTTTAAAATTCTGCATGTTTTTTTTTTTTTTTTACAAGAGGCAAAGTTCTGTAAGTAACACATATTATAATGGTGCATATGTATTTTTAACATTTTTGCAAATAAATCTGTATTTTGTTTTTCTTTATTAATTTGAAAGAAGATACAGAAAGAAAACTCAAAATGTTAGATGACCATTGCATTAACAATGCGTTTGCTTGTAGACTTATGTAGATATACTTTTTAAATATAAAAACTGGTTTACTTTAAATAAAATAGTGAAATGTTTCTTGCAGGATGAATCACTGCAGACAAGCCTGACCAGTCCAATGTCCAGTGTAATAAAAAGATCCAAAGCCCTTCGATTCTACGGACTCATGGGGAAACGCTCAGGTAACCTTGAAACATATCCATGCATAACATAATGTCTCATTTTTGTGCTTATCACCATTTTTATGTCTCATAATAAGTATTAAAGCCTGTTGCATGACAATAGATTTATCTCTTCACAGATGCAAAAAAACCCTACCAAGTAAAGAGACGTGAGTGGCTTGACCTTATTGAAGCAGAACTCTTATCATACTAACGGTTTTGAAAACTAGTAGTTCCAGAAATTGGAATCTATTATTTAATCACAGCATCATTGCATATTTCTTATTCTTATAGGAAATAAAGGAGAAATGTTTGTGGGCCTGATGGGAAGAAGCATCTCCAGTGGTGGTAAGCATAAAATCATCAATAGACCGCATGTAAATTGTAGATATTTCAAAATATCAAGGCAGCTTTATTGATATTAAAAATATCAAAGTGCTAATACACATTACACAGCTATGATTCAAAGTACAAGCCGAAAACCATCCTAGTCAAACGTTTCCTGTTTATTACAGAATCTCTACCCAAAGTAAATCGTTCTGCAAAGACCACTGCGATCCATGATTCAGAGAACCCATACAAGCAAGGTACGATTGTACCAGTATAAAAACCTGAGGCTGTTTTGTTTCTATGTGCATTCATATAGTGGTGTTACATTTGTATTTTATATCCTCAGCAAATTAAAAATCTCCTCTTTCCCCTCATCATTGGCAGGTTCAGCAAAGGAATGGATCAGAATCCTGTATTGATGGAATTAGAAAAAAAAAAAAAAAGAGACATTATGACGAAGATCTATACAATTTTATACCAACCAAAGGCGTGTTGCCATAAATCATACTCATTAAAAGTACACCCTGCTCAATTTCATGTTTCGATTCATGCTAACAGTTACTGTATTAACGCTCAAAAAGAATAACCACCATTGTCAAAAAGCACATTTCTCATAGTAAATAAAAATAACCTCTAAATGCACTCAAATGTAGCTATTCTAACATTAATGTTATCCATCACATTGGACCGTTCATCATTTAACATTCAGCACACAAAGGCAGTTTTAAAGCAAATCCTCGACACTCATGTTTCACAATGCTGACAAAAAGCATTTGACTTGGAACGTATGCTGGTTTGGCTAGAAATGACAGTAAAATATAAAAAGGTATTTAAAAAATTCACATTACAGACAAGAAGAAATAAACAGGGTCAAAGGGATGAAAGAAAAAAAACACTGATCTTTATTGACAGTTCATAGGTCTAGGCTACTTGTGGCTGGTGAGGCTAGAGGCGAGTGTTTTCAGTAGCCTGAGCTTCTCAGTGTTTATGTCCCTTTGGGAGGGGTCCATTTTAGCGAGCTTGGGTCGATGGTTTTGTTGCTATTGCCTCGCTTGATCTCCTTTGCTTTCCACTCATCAATCAGGTCCTGGGATGAGAAACAGGGTAACGAGCTAGGTTATCACATCTAATTTTTCCAGTAAGATAGAAATAGAAAGAAGGGCCTGGTATAAAACGTGTTTTACAGCATTAACGTAAAATTTTACTTCCAAAATTAATCAAAATATTAGAAATAGACAAGTAAATGATCTCAGTAACCCAAATAATTTGATACAAAAGCAATTATTTCAATAAATAAATACAAGCATAAATAAAACGGAGAGGAGCCAGCTTACCTGACGCTTCAGTACTAAGTGCTTTCCCTTCCAATACTTCAGCATCTGAAGAGACTGCAGGGTGCTCACAATGTCCACCGGGTTGACAGCAGTTTCCTGACTGATCTCTGTGCAGCACGCAAATATTAAAACAAATATTCATTGTATGCATTTGTCTTGTTTATTAAATGCATGAATCTTCTTGTGTGGATTCATTATGCTCTTCCTTTTATCTATCATCGATATACATATTCTGAGATCAGTGTATGTACAAGTAATCTTTAAGGGCCTAAAGCTCAAGCTTCAGACTTCTCTAAACACTCTGGTTTAGGCATTTTTTCCTGCTCTTGACTGTCAATGAGAGGGAATTTCTTTAATATGGTTATCTGAGGCACACAGCTCAGACTTTGAGCACAGCACTCCCACCCAGCTGCTGCTGCGCAAATCTTTTACTTGCAAGGGACAGCCAAACAGAAAAAAACATAGCTTAAGAGGTGAGCTAAGAGGGAAAGAAGCTAAACTGGCTTGTTACTAGACAGAAGATGGACTTTGGGACTTCACCAAGGCCAATATAAGCTAAAATTAAGATTATTTTAAACTGGTAATTGGTAACTGGTAACAAAGTACAGAGCCACTTTCAGCTTTTTTTGTAAACATATAATTTAAGCTGCCAAATTATAGGGTTTGTGCTTTCACTTACCTTTGATGGAGATCTCCTTGCCTTGAAAGTTGTACATGTATCTGAGTAATACCTCCTTCCAGTAACTCCTGTAACTGATGAGGCCCAGATCAGAAAGAGGTCTCTCTGGCGAGCCCACCTTCTCCTCAACTTTAGACAACAGATAACCTAAATAAAGCACAGGACAGTCAGAATGAACGCTTTCAGAAGGAAGAGAGAATTATCTGTATTTCATTATGCAAAAAGACTAAAATGCAATTTAATGATTACATTGAGAATAGAATAAATTAACATATATACATACTAAAGTCAATGAGCATCTTTCCAAAGCCTTGTCTCATGTACTGTGGCATTGTCAGGATACAGGATACATTGTAGTTCAGGAAGGAATTTTTCTCCTTAAATAAATAAATAGAAGGAAAAAACACTTTTTAGACATTTCTGTTCTGGAACATAAATTCAATCATTGTGTGGGTAAAAAAAATAACCTTGTTCTTCTTTACCTTTGAAAAATAGCCTACTAAATGGCAGCCAGTGTTGTCAGCTTCAGTCATGACATAGAAGAGAAAAGGCTCCACGTCATAGTAAAGTGTTTTGTGGTCCAGAAAAAGCTTGGCAAGTAAACACAAGTTCTGACAGTAGATCTGGGGATGATATGGCCCTTGATTACTTTAAAAGTGGCTTATATATTTGATTACAATTTAAAAAGAAAAGAAATGCCAGTGTTTACTAAGTAAGACTCTTACCTTATTCTTTTTGCCATCGACTTCAAAAACAGATATAGACCCCTTTCTGTACACCTCATCTCCTGGAGGATGCTTCCACACACATTTGGCCTGAAAAGACAAATTATATACAGTACTTCCAAACCAGTGAGTTCATAAAGATAAATTATTCTTATTTAAAGGCTACCGTGCAGTAAAAATATATAATGTAATAAGAGCAACGGCTGTTTGCCAAAACGGAACTTTAAAAAATGAATGTTTAGAATGTTTTTATAAAAATCATTTCTAAGTGTAGCACGACTCCAATGACTTGGGATTAGTCTCTCTCACCATGTGTCGCCTGAGGATGGTCTGGCTCTTCATGTATTTGAGGCAGAATTCACAGACGTACAGACGACCCAGACGCGCATACTCCTCAGGATAGGGCGAGTGGTACCAGGTGTCCAGCTCGTAGCGACCAAACAAGATAGTCTTGATCATGTTACTGCCCTCGGTGATCTGACCCTGGATGCGCAGCTTCTCCTGCAGGCATGAAGATGGGAAACATTAATGTCCAATGTGTGTGATGAGGTTATCAATCAAAAAACTAGAATGCTAACATACTGACAGTTTAAAAAATAAATAAATAAATAAAACAAAATAGTGACAACTCAGTTTTTAAAGAAAAATAATGTACCTGGAACAATGAAAGGCACCAGTTCTAGCTTCATTTCCTTTTATCTTATTCTAAAATGCTAAAAAGAAAGTACTTATGGAGATGTGAAACCTCATCATTACCAGGTCTTCAGATGCTCGGGCCTGTGCTTTCCTGAACAGCTCCAGGTCATATTCACTGGTGATGTTCTCCAGCAGAGGCTCTCTGGTGTTGCCGTGTGTTTGCCGATGCTCCTGTGGGCCACGAGAAAAGGCAAGCAGGAAATGAAGTAACATGCCAGCTATGAGGTGGAATAAGCTTAGAAATAGCAAAACAAAAGTACTGGTGACGTACCACATGCTTTTCTTTCTGCTCCTTCTGCAGGCCAGAGTTTCGACCCTTCCTTATCTCAGCCACTTGCTCCTTGTATCGAATCTGTTTCGGTGTTGGTGTCTACAAATAAGGATAAATAACCAATTCACTTTCCTGGTATGAGAAATTACTGACAGTAGTTAAAATAATAAACAGATAATTAAGCAAAGTGTTTAAAATTCAATGTCATGCTCTCATTTCTAAAGCAGACCTACCTGGTGACGAGTTGCATGGCGCGAGTTGCTGTCCTCCTGTGCCTTTACCTCCTCCTCTTGTTTCTCACGGCTAATGGCTTTTACCTGACAAATAAATAAATAAATACATAAATAAATAAAGCATGGATTATATCATGGGCAGCACGGTGGCACGGTGGTTAGCACTGTTGCCGCACAGCAAGAAGGTCCTGAGCTCAATTCCAACATCAGGCCGGGGTCTTTCTGTGTGGAGTTTGCATGTTCTCCCCGTGTTTGCGTGGGTTCTCTCCGGGTACTCCGGCTTCCTCCCACCATCCAAAGACATGCAGCTTGTCGGGATAGGTTAATTGATTAATCCAAATTGTCACTAGGTGTGAATGTGAGTGTGAATGGTTGTCTGTCCCTGTGTGTTGGCCCTGCGACAGACTGGCGACCTGTCCAGGGTGTACCCTGCCTCTCGCCCTATGACAGCTGGGATAGGCTCCAGCGCCCCCTGCGACCCTGAAAAGGATAAGCGGAAGCGAATGGATGGATGGATGGATGGATGGATTATATCTCTTCTTGGTCTCTCATTTCTCTCTGATACGGCTCAGGCAGCCAAATACTCATACCAGCCACTTCAACCTACAACATTAATAACATTTGCTGGGAACATCCCTGTTTAAGTGATGAAGTGTGTTACTTGTGGCTGTTTTTACTGATAGCAAAAGACATTGTGTACTTGTACTACAGATGAAATTGTCATTTACTACACTCAACCTTTGGAGTATCAGTTATGTCCCAAAGAAAGTTGTACAGTCCAGCCACTGCCAGTGTTTCAGGTTAATAACTGTATAGATAAAGTAAATTCACATAATATTGTAAAGTATTCTGAACATGATTTATAATAATCACCTTGCATTCATCAGCAGAAAGATTGTGGTAAAGAGGACAGCCTGACACAGCAAAATGACGTTCATGCTTTCCTGTGAGGTGACCTAAGAAAAAAGAGAAAAATAAGCATGATGTTTGCTGATATGCCACATTTCCCATGTTCAAATTTTTAATAACACTTTTGACGTTTGGCAAAAAAAGTAATATATTTTACCAAGGGAATTGCACCCCGGGGTTGGACATTTCATGTTGAAATTATAGGTTTCGTGACAGCGGCGGCGTTTAGGTCGGTGGGAGAGATCTTTATCCGAATCTCTGTTGGCTTGGTCCTTGGCCTGGCTCTCATCATGTGAGGCATTGGGACTGGAGATGTCCAACTCTGATTCAGAGGAGGGTGCATTTCCAGTGGGCGTCAGTGGTGGAGATTCATCGTGATCCACAGCTCGCTTTAATTCCTGAGTATCTAAGGGAAAATAAAATAAAAGAAATCTTCAAATCACTGTAAAAGTATATATATACATATGTGTGTGTGTGCATATGTATAGGCTATGTTGCCAACCCTGAGAGCTTTGGCTAAGGCGAGTAGAGGCTCTGGTGAGGCGCTGTCTCTTGGGCACAGTCCCTTCACTTTCTGAGCTATTGGTCTGTTCTCTTTCAGCAGAGGAGTCAGAGTCTTCAGTTCCATCTGAACCACTCCCAGCCATGTGTCTCTGTCAGGGGAACAAACGGTAAATGAAAGGCACCTTTTACTAAATAATGTCAAATAGAGGTGCGGAAAAAAACAAGCATGGATAACACTGATGGTGTCCACAAGCCAAAAAGACAGAGTTGTTCTGGCGATAGCAACTACAGTTTTACAGAGCAGTTAATTCAGCATTCACAGTGTATCTATTCATTGTTGAGTCATAAATCCACCAAATTAAAAGCGTAGCTGAGGTAACACTGTAAAAGTGCTGTTTGTGGCCATTTTTCTTTTAGATTTCTGACTGGCTACAATCAAATGATAGCTCTCCATTAGCTGTTTAATTATTATCATCAGCATAAACAGGTCTTAACACCATCTACCCCTTACTAATACCAAAGCAATATATTCCGCCAAGCTAGTATTAAAAACTGGCCAAATACTGTCACACGTGTAGTAATTACCACGACAAAGTAACCAGTCTGCTTAGCACGTCAACTGTTATTGTTGTTAGCTTAGCGATAACGGTTAGCTCTGTTCTTGGTTTTTAGTATTTGTTTTTTTCCCAGCCAATGTGGCACAACACTGTATTCACAAACAGCAATTTAAGCAGGACTGGTCTTGTTTTAGTCTTAGGGCAAAGCCTACATATACATGAACCGCGAAGCGCCGTTACATTTCACCAAACGTGAAGTAAAAGTTTTAGCTTCTTTTAGCTGCTTTCAACTGTACACTGGGTGTTTATTGAGCTCGAACAATACCGTCACAAGCTGAATGTGGCAATGCAGTTAAAGTCAGTATGTTTAAATTATTCTGTGCAGATTTATCAGCTGATGCTAACACCGTGTTTTAGCGCGTTACACTGTCAGAATATTGAATGAAATATGGTGGAACCTTCGGGTTAACCATTAGTGCTAACTTAGCTAACGTTACCCTCTTGTGCGACCTACATGTACTCTTACCTGTCTTCTACGAGGCATGTTCTTCTTGATGGCTACTACTTCACGATGGTCTAAAGCAGCAAATGTAAACGTTACGTTTAAAAAATAAACTGTTTAATGATTTATAGATTTTTTTACTTTATTAGTTTATATGTACACAGCGTTTAGTAGCTCGAGCTGCATTCCTCGCTCAGACAGAGCGAAGAAATGAATTTCCGGTAACCAGTAGACCAGCAGGGGGCGACTTCCGGATAAAATAAATTTATTACTAATGCCTGTCTAAAATCTGAAGTGGGCTGGGTGGGGGTTAATTTGAAATGCACTGTCGTGTCTTTTTTTTTCTTTAATAAAAATATGACTCCCAAAGAGCCAATCTTTCTTGCCATTTTGAAAAAAGTGCTCTTGTTCAATAGATCCCAAGGCTGGGACATTTTCAGTTCAGTCCTTGTACCTGACCATTTTCAGAGGAATGCTTTTTTGTTTGTTAAATCATTGAAAATTGAGATTTACAGCAGATGAACAGTATCTGAAAAATCATGTGCTTAAGAAATAGGTTGCAGAGGGGGAATCCATCAAGGACCTGACACGAGACCTGATATATCTGTTACTTCGGCGGATCCATTTACTGTTGGCCTCAGAAATTGCTTTAGTGCTGTGGTGGCTGTCAAGAAGTTATTCTTAAGGAATAGTATTGGATAACAGCCTTTATCCAAAGAAGAAGCCTTTAAAACCCCCGGAGAACTCATCCTGAAGGTTACTTTAAGAAGTTACAAGATACAGTAGCTTGACTAGGAGAGTTCAGGCTGTGTTGGAGAATAAAGATGGCCATACCAAATATTGACTTTCAAACTCGTAAAAATTATCCAAGCTGCCTTTTAAACTTGTTGGATTTTTACCAACTCTGTTTTTGGCCTATCTATGTTTACACATGCTCCAGTCAGTTCCTGCACATAGTTCCAATTTCCTTACCAAAATATAAAAAAAGGCTGACTCAAGACTTTTAAATTGTATCTATTAAATTTTGCTTTGTCGAATTTACTGATTTTACTGAGCTGTTTCACTTAGAAGAGCCACGTTCTTGTATATTCATATTTTCTTTGGTTAACTTCAATTTGGTCATATCTTTATTATCATATATTGTATTTTATCAACATGTTTACTTATTGAGCCCTGTTATTTCATTTGACTGTATTTTTCCTTTTATTTATTTATTTTTTTACTTTATTAAGTTATTGTGTATTTGACACATACTTTATTGAAATATTCTACTTTATTTAAACTTTTATATATATATGTAGTGGATGTTCTGGCTGGTCTACCACAGGATTTTTTTAACTTTTGGAAAATGAATAAAGTATTTTATCTTTATTATATCTACCTTCCTATATATAAAGTTTACATTTACAATTCTACTCTTTAAACAATATTGATGGCCAAAATACTGATTTTAAGTAATTTAATTTTGTTGCATAACTAAGATTTAAACTTAATGAAACGCTGTCAAATGAAATTCACTTGATTATTCATGTATGTGTATGTTGGTAAATGATTCATAAATTCAGCAAAATCAATTTTAAAATTATCAATGCGTCAAGATTTTGTCCAAAATTATTAAAGTTCCATTGCATCCCTCAGGCAATGTTGGTCAACAACCTCCCAAGTGTTGAAGTGGGTCCCATTAGGTAATTTTCTTGTTGGATTCTTCCTGCCCCCACCTCCATCCTCTTAAACAATCAATTAAAGGTGGCTGAACCACTTTGAGAACCCAGAAAATGCATCTGTTTTCCCGAGTGTTCCACAGTCAGGCTATAAAGGGCACGGAAGGGGCTGTGGCAGGCAAGTCTCCTAGCAGCTGATACCAGATGGTCTATATATAGCTTCTAGGGCCTGGCCGCTGCATCAGAGCACACTACTAACTCAGCTGGACACGTGTGAGTTAGCTTTCTCTTGGTAAAAAGGAATTGTATAGCAACTTCTCTTTTATTTAAAAACAACAACAAGAATGAACAAACCTAAAATTGTCAGACCAGAGGAAAGGTAAGTGCTGCCAAACTCACTGAGCAACAAAGCATGTTTTTTTCCTAAATCTTTCATTATGAAAAGGTTTCAGGTTTGATTCCTAAGCAGTTTCTTGGTGTTTTAACAGCAAGCCAGCACATGCGCTGTGGTTTGATAGGAAGAAATACGTCACCATCAACTTCATGGTTCAGAAACCTAAAGATGTCCAAGTTGATATCCAGCCAGACAAACTGATTCTGTGGTGAGTTTTTAAAGACGTTCCCTCTCTTGAAGTCACATGTGATTCAGTTTAGAAAATGTCTAAAATGGTTTCTTTGACAACCCCATTGCCTCTCTGCAACAGCTGCAAAAACGAAACAGATGATGTGTACTACAACGAGCTGCACTTCTATGACAAAGTCCAGATCCACGTAAGCATCCGCATTATATTCTGTATTCTTCAATGTACAGAAAGCAGGCTGTTAAACGCTCCTTTAACTTGTCATCACTTGAAAGGACTCCAGAGAAAGGGTCTATGACCGCACCATCAATGTCTTGCTAAGGAAGATGAAACCTGATTGTGCTTGGCCTCGTCTTCAGAAAGATCCAGCTAAGGTAAGCACACGTGTTTGTGTCTGTGTCCTTAAACCGATCAGTATCAAGGTATTCTATTCTTCTCATCTGGTATTTACTCAGGTTCATAAAAATAGCATGGCTCATGTTAAGACTGTTTTTATGAGGCTGAAGAATTTTTTTTTTTTACCAATGATACTTCCTCACTATTCATTTACCAGTTTCAATCCCAAACCCTAAGTTGAAAAAGTCTTAGCTCACTGTTTCCGTCTCATAAAAATGCATTATATAAGCAAAGAGAAGCTTTATATAAGTATTTATCTAAAGCTACTAATAGAGTGCCTGAGGATATTACAACTAACTAAGTAGGATGTTCTGTAATCCTTGCAACTTTACTTTTAGTAAATAATACCTAAAATGGTGCTGTTATGTCTTCATTCCACAGGCCAGTTGGATTTCAGTTGACTTTGATAACTGGAGGGACTGGGAGCACGAAGATGATGAGGGAAAGGAGGAATATGACCGTTATGTGGATGTGAGTGAATTCAGTCTTCTTAGTAATAAGATTAGTCAAATTCCAATATTGCTTCTGATCCCAGTGCATGTAATATGCAATACCTTCCATTATTTTTTGTTTAAATGGCTTTCCTTTTACAGATGATCCGAGAGATGGCTAACAGTGACAAAGGAGAAGCTCCAGATATGGGGGATCTTAGTGATGTAAGTGAAGTGTTCTCCATATAAGTGAGGAGTGTACAATGTAAAATTGGGAATTGCTTCTGCAATAGTCTATATTTAAGTATTCTACAATCAATGCCGACTGAAAATCTGTAACTTATATTGATCATTTTATTGCGGAGACTGACCATTCATCCATTTTTTTCCCTTTCAACAGTCTGACTGATACTTTATCCTCTCTGGTGAAGCCTGCTGTAAATGTCTAGCTCAGGATACTGAGGACAACAGTTTGTTTACTGAAAGCTGTATTATATGCTAAAAATGGATGTGCTATTGTCCAAAATGCTGTTTTTAAATGTATGATGATATTTTATGTGAGATTATTTATTGCTCTGTAATTGTTTACTGTACACCGGCATGTGATTGATAATAAAAGTTTTATTAAACACAAAATTGCATTATGTTGCTTGAGGTAATAACACTAGCTGAATGAACTGGGGGATATAGAACATGATTGTGTCGGTAACTCCAGAAGATGGCAGTAACGTTGCAGTAAATTTAAAAGTCTCAATCAGTAGCCCAAATTTAGTTTACACTCGTAGTAATGCACTAAAAACACAGCCTCGCTTTTTATACGTAGTCATATTAGTGACCTGTTGCCGGTTAACATAACTAGTTGTAAAAAAAAACCAAAAACGTTTCCAGCCTTTTGTTGAAATGCTGTCTAATTTGAAATTACCCGATTTTTCTCTTAAATCGGTTCATTTCGTCACTTTCAACGTTTGGTATGTTGTCTGCGTTCTACTGAGAATCATTTATAGCTGTATCAGATTTAAAAAATCATTGCATTCTGGTTTTATTTACATTTTACAATTCGGGTTGCAGTTTATTCGATTTTATAGAGCACATCCTAAGGTTTTCTCTTCCTCCTGTTAAAAAAAGTGCATTTAAAAGATGATTAAATAATAATGGCTTAATTAATCTTTTTCGCTTAAGTTAAAAAAGTTATGAAGCGAAAGTCGAAGTCATTAAGTTTGGGCTATTATGGTACCCGTCGGCGTCAGCTGACAGCTGTAGGCTTCCTCCCCGTGCTCGTGCTACCGGCTGGCGCAGTTTTCCTTTCAAAAACAGGACAAAATGGCTTTTCAGTGTCAGCGAGACTGCTATATGAAAGAGGTGCGAAGCTTTTAAAAGCATCCGAAAAGACCTCCCGGAAATTTATCAGCAGTTCGGTGCAGAAGTGATTAGCATGCCTGCTAACTGATGCACCTGCTAGCTACCTTTGTAACCAGAGCAAGGGCTGGCAACTGATTTATAGCTCGTTTATATATAGTCTACGAGTCGCACTTTTATCTTACATAACCTTAGATTTATTCAGTTTTACTTTGTTAGAGGTTGTAATTGTGTAATTTCCACACTCTATATTTCAGATCGTATCATTTTTCTCCTTTAAAACGCCGCTTAAAAGTAATAAATCACCTTAAATGCTATGCATTTAGAGAATTTAGGATACTGTCTCCTTTTTTAAGTCTTCAGTCTTTGTACTTGCTGTCACATAAATTGTCCTTTACAAAGCCAGACCTTTATAAAGTCTTGTATGAGACTGAAATCTTGCACACACTTAAACAACTGCAGTCCTTTAAGAAGCATGTAATGTTTCTGGTTGTAAATTTTATATGACACGATTATTATCGTTATTTCTCTGGTCCCCTTCCAGTTTGTTACCTCTGTAGTCTCCTGCTGCCCGGCGGAACTAAAAC